ATAAGGTTTATTATCAAATTCTAATTTTAATTATTCCTTTTGCTTAAGAGTGAAAAAATGGTCAAGGTATTATTATCTGAAGTTTAAAGTTTCTTGTCCACATATATAATGACTAACTTTATAATGGAATTAGAGTCAAATTTATTAATAAATACAATAAAAATTCTTGCTTATATTAGTTTTCATTTTTCCTGATAATTTTTTATATAAATAAGAATAATGATCTGATTTTAATGTAATTTGAACAAATTTAAAATATATTAATTATAGATTATATATATTTATTAAACTATACACAGTCATTTCTTTATTATTTTCATATAATCATAACGTTTTCCAGTTTCATATACCAAAAATTTAAAAGAAAATAATTATCTTATTTCAGAATAAACTATCTAAACATAATACTAAACTTTAAAGTGATACTTAAATGCTAATATTCATGAAATTTAAGTTTTGATATTTTTAATCAAAAGCAAAGGTTGATTTTTTTATTATGAAACAATTATATACTTTAAAAGATAATATTAATATCTTTATAATTTTAATTATAATTTATTATATACATATTACGAGACTCATTAAAATTCTATATTACTAATATTATTATATTAATGTATATTACTATATTTATAATCTATTATATTATTATTTTTTGCATAATATTAATATTATATATATATATAAAATGAATAAAGTATAAATAAAGATAAAAATGTAATATACTAAATTATTATTATATTATTCAAGCTTTTTAGTTTTAAATATTTGAATTTGAATTAAATTCAATTTTTGAATTTTTGAATTATTTGTCAACTTTAAACTTTAGCAAGTATCTTCATCTTGTGAATAACGATAATGAGAAAATTATAAAGAATTGAAGAATTATTTATTGTCCGAGAAAATATTGTAATAATAAAATATTAATAACAAACATATCTTAAAGCTTTTTCAATACATCGCAATTATTATAATTAATATTAGTTAACATTTTATCTCAAAGTTCCTCCGCTTTAAATTATAAATGATATAAAAGAATTAATATATCAATATGAGCTACCAGATTTTTACATATGAATACAAAATTAAAAAAATCCACACTTAACAAACATAATTCACTAATACCGTGGCTTTTCCGTTATAGACGAATTTGATGATTTCTGATATTAGGTGTTTCTTTTGGCATGATAGTAACTGCTTAGATTGGCGGCTCATTTACCGAAGTATTTATAGTATTATAGGAATGGATAGTTATTGATATATTCACGTCAATCTCCTTTTTCTAATATATTTCCGCCAAAACCACATTTTTTGAGACAAAAAAAGGGTAACCGATAACATCCCTAAAAAGACTACCGGCGGCATGATACAAACAAACATGGATACACAACAGATTTTGTACATGTATACACATGCATATAGATGTACACGTTTGGATAGATATTCCATGCATATCGATATGTGTGGATCCTGTGCTAAAAAACGAGTTTATGTCGTCATATCGATATCATTACCAATTATTTCGTGCATTCTTGCAATTTCTCACGAAGTTTATATATGCATAGCTTTTTTTTCATAAGAAAGAACTAGAGCCAGTTAACTTGGATGGTGCCGAGAATTCAAGATTTGCGTTACCTTAATTAATAAGAATGAAGCTAATCTATATCAATATTGACGAGGAATAAATTTAAAAGCTGCGACAATTGATACAAGCATCCGAATAATATAATTTGGGTTCTATTTACCAAATTGAAAATATAGTGTATTTCTTGTATTGATAACATCAATTAAGAGATTGAATCGAAGATTTAGTAATGGAAGCAGAGGATCTAAATAAGTGATTCAGGGAATACGGTATTTGAAAGATTTTTTTGTGTTTGATTCACGCATAAATATTATGTTATCAATTCATGTTTATTGATTTCTTTAATGAACAGATATTTTAAATTGATTAAAACAACCACAAAATAACTTATATCCCAAAAGTTTGTATTCCAACAGAAGAAATTAATACGTATATTGTTTAATTATCAATATGTCGAGTTTCTGAATTTTGTAAGAAGTACAGCACATTTTTGCGTTGAATTCTAGACTCCTACAAGTTGCGAAAGACAAAACATCATCTCATAAATTATTTCAAATTTGCTAGATTTTAGAAACTGTTTATTAAAGTGACTCATTTAAAATAATAAATTCGTGTACATGTAACGCTAAAAAAAATTAAAGTCTTTGTTTGAATAAAGTTTAGAAAAAATTATCAATATTTATTGGTCCATACGATTATATAAAACTAAAATATAAACTTTAAGTCCTTTTTTATAGAGTTACGCATGCACAATGAAATTAGCATGCAGATTAATCAATATACAATATACATGGATTCGTAAACTTTTTTGAATTCATGTTTTTCAACAGCACGCTTATCAGAATCAATTTAAATATTAAATAAAACATAATTATATCGGGACGCTATTATATCGCTTTGAATATTGAAATCAATATAATATTATCTCTAATATAATGTTGTGATGATAATATTATTCGTCGAAGAAATGCTAAATAAGAGAGAGATTACTGTTAATATGATAACCTCGTTTATATGACCAAACTAAACAAGCCAGTTTCCTATAGTTAGCAACAACATCATATTAACGAGGGTTGACTATATTATGAGCTTAGAGTTCGCACCAATTAGCTTTTAAAAAGTGTTATTTAATAAATAAATATTATAATTAATGTAATATGTCTTATATTTTAAGAAATGATTGCATAAATATAATTTATTTTGTTGCTTGATTTAATCTAATCTAACAAATTTGTGGTTATCTTAGGTAATTAAAACATGCGCTTTTATTGAATTTTAATATTATTTTATAAATCATCATGTGGACTAGCCTAAACTTAAATTATGTTGCATTTGTTTATACAGTACAATATATGCAATATAAAATGCATATAATATACGGTATATTAATATCATTCATTAGAAAACGATTTGAAGCATATAATGATCATTTAAAAGGCTACAAATTTTATCGCAATGCTTTTGACAAATCATAAAATACTATGTTCATTAATTTCTCTGATTACGGATCCGTTTAATATTTGGATGTTTCTAAACCTAAATATCTTTATATATATAAAGTCTTTCTTGCCATATACTTTATAAAGAGGCCAACTTATAAAACATGTATCTTTACAATACATGGTTATTATCTATACAAAAATAAATAGTAGTCTGATTTAATGTAAAACAGAAAGCGCGGTTAAAATAGTAATTAAATTGAATCTTCACAGTACAGTATTTCTTCATCCTACCTAAGCAATAATATACGGTACGATGAACAAATTGGAATAAAAATATATGAATTTGAAAAAAGTTGTTAGTTTTCCAAAATAATTCTGACGCTGCCGATGTAAGAATTCATTTAATTTGTAAAGTTCAATCCATATTGTGTAATATGTATTTTTATCCATTGTTTCACGGAAATAGACAGAAAGCAAAATCATAATATTCAGACGAGACAAATAGATTATGTAAAATAACCATCACCGTGAAAAAAGCAGCATCAGATATTTACACATTAGGATTTAGATACTTTGGAGAATTACCTGTTGAATCAAAAAGAGTTTATAGATTTATAAAAAATATGGAAAAGTATATCCGCGCCCAGAACATCAAGAATTGAATCTATTTCTGAAAAGATTATTGAGCAAATCGAAGGACTATAAAGATAAAGGATAATAGATAAAAATCTTTTGTGATATAAACTTAACATCGAGGTTTGCATAGTTCAAAATTCTCTTGAAATTTTGTAACGATAGGTTTTATTTAATTCAAAGTAAAATACGCTAAACTATAAGATATTTCAATATTTTTCTAAAAATAAACTTTACACGTTGATTAATCTCGAGTATAATATCACTATCTATTAACGTGCTATCACTTTTATAAAGGATTACTGTATTCTCCCGGTAACTGAGAACAAGCGCTGCCCCAATTAATAAGAAAATTATGAATAAGTCCCACTATAAATAAGTACCGCCTTAGATTAATCGAAAACTTAAAAAAGTATTATATTTATTATATTACTAATTATACTATATATATTAATTTTTGAAATAATTTTCTTTATCTGCGGATTCATTTTTTAAATTTACAACTCCTCTTTCTTTTATTCCTTTTACTTATTGGTTGAGTGATCAATCCGGTAGATATTCAAGAAACTGTCTAGAAATAAGAATCACTCCCTATTTTGGGAGCCAAAAAATGGCACTCAAATGATGCTTATTTTCGGGAGAATACGGTACTTTGTGTCTTGAACGGAATATGTTTTCCTGAGTGCTGATATATGACATATTTGACTATGTAAATACTTTCAGGGAAAGTATTTGCGATCCAATTTAAGGATTAAAAAGCGAATTCCATCGAATGAAACGACTAAATGAAACTCTGTTCTTGATTTTTGACTAAAAGCGTACTAACAAGAAAAAATTTTATTAAGAATTCTAAAATTCTCAGAATTAAAAAGAATGATTCTGTTCTCGATTTTTGGCTATTGACGAGCTATTTGTATTTTAATACAGTACAGAGTATGACATTATATCATTCATCTTATCAATATTACGTATTAATAATTTATTAATAATAAATACACAGTATGTGAATGTAACACATATTCACGCCACGCTCCCACAAAACAAAAGGGTCTCGATCTAATGAGAAATTTCAATTACCATATAAAAGTATCATTTTTCATTTAGATTAATGTATCATTAGTTAGCTGTGTAAATTTATTATTTTCATTCTTTAGAATTTTTCCACAAACACACACACACACACACATATATAATATATACCTTAATCCATTTATGTCCGCACACCTTTATTTAACACATTTCTATCGCCTTCTTTTTTTACTAGTGTATATTAATAATCCGATCTTTGACATCATTCTTTAACAAGCAATCTACCTATTTCCCTTGTCAACTTCATAAAAATGAACACATTAATTCCGTTACCGATCAAAGAGAATGATCGGCTTTTCAAAAACCCTACTACCACTAGTAATACTAATAATTTAGCCAGAATAATAATAAAACGAAAAAATATAAGTTTAGATAAGAATACTAATAATCAACAACATGGACATAGTTTTAGAACTACCGACCAAGATCGTAATTCTGAGACTAACAATGGCATTAATAACAATGATGAAAACCACGAAAACAATAATTCTAAAAATAGTAATATCAACAGTGATGACAAGATATTGTCGTCGACACAATCATCACAACCATCCAATTCCGATTTGATATCGAATAAGCTAATTAACTTCTTAACAACCGATACCACCATCGAGAACTCATCACCATTGCCTGGCGCTGATAACATGGAAGAGTATAACAATAACTTAGATAATCATACCAGTAATAAAATTGATCGATCCTCCGCTTGGCGAATAGCGGGAATCGTATGCAGTATCGCCTTTCTGTTGTTTTTGATAATGTATTTTATTAAAAGAAATTTATTTCGTACAACAAAATATAAGTGTGATAATAATCCTCGTCTTTATGATCTTGAAGGGTGGACTGATACTTCATGCGATCAAGATGTCAATGTAGCGAGGCCACCCTTGACTCATAATTCATCACCGCGTTGTCATTCACCTAGTTACGACGAGTACAATACTGAAAATTTATTGGAACCTACTGGTTTAACTGGTGGGGAAGAAATTAACACTTGTAAGAGTACAAGTAATTACGACAGCAATAACAAAAGCAAATCCATCTCTAGAGCGAAAGCAATTAAAAATTTACCCGCGCTTTTTCGTTCATCAGTGCACGCGTCTAGTCTTAACAGTTACGATAAGGCACGTCCACTTTCGGTTCACGAAGAACATATTTTTGATGTTGAAGAACCTTCACTTGATATAAATCATTTCGAAGATGAACTATCATCGGACGATGAGATGAACGAAAGAGTTTTGCATGTATTGACGGGTCCTCGAAATATGGAGCAAACTGTCAATTGGGGAGAATGTATGAAATAAATTAACACTAAGATTCTATAATATGTTACATCAACATTCCTTATGAAAACATTACTTCGCACCACGTACTTTTTGTACTAAAAAGGCAAAATATAAGCATTCTAAATAATTATGCGAGAGTCTATATGCTATTGATATGTATGTAATAAAATAAAATATCAATTCTAATCAAGTAATTATTGAATTATGGAGAGCAATCAGCGAAATTGTCAGCAAAACTATATTTGAGTCGACTAAAATGCCAATCTTGCCAAAGTCGGTCATGTGAACTGTGATGATAATTCTTTAATTTAGAATGACAATTTAAACAATAAATATTTTAACAGTTATCGGTTATAATAAATCCGAAAAAAAGACAGTCAGAGAACAGTGGAAACCGAGGTAGGAATAAAACGATTTTGACGAAAATGGAGATGATACAAAAAAATTTAGTTTCCAAGGCTAGACTTTCTCGAAATGGTTAAATTATTGTCAAAATTATCAAATAAAATAATTAATCTTTGAAATGGAGGTAGATTTAAAAACTTGTGTCAAAAAAAATATTAGTTTTATGTGTTAAGTTCATGAAATACATGATCAGCAAAAAAGACCGGGAGAATTTTTTGGCAAACTAGAATTCAAATCGTAAGTTGAATAGAGAATTGGTAACGATTGGATTAAAGTTACTAAAGAATGAAGGTTGTGTATTGCGCTTCTCTTGTTGGATGCAGCAAAATCATGTCGCGAATAATAAGATACTTGGAAAAATAAGGACCACTATCATAAAGAAAAAAGATAATAAACATTTGATCGGCATTTAAGAGCTGAAAAATTTTATCAAGAAATTAAGATATTAAAAAGTTTAGTACTAACGGAAATTATCAAGCATTACAAGGTCCTTTAAAATACATTATATAAACTTTTACACATAATATTTAAATAAAAATCGCTACTTATTTACTAAGGAGACAGCGTCGCATATCGTAAAAGATATGAAATCTTACGCATCACTGGTGAATTTAAGAGCTTTCTGGAACTATGTTTGATTGTATTAGAGCAAGAATAACATTCACTTTGGAGAAAGTTCGTATATAAATTCGAGTAATTTGCTTTGAATCATGTAATGATTTCAACACAATTTTGTTTTTATTATATCGTTTAAATCCATTTTCTTCATGATCCCAATATCCATTTGTAGGTCCATCCAACCAGGTTGCTTTATAACCTCCATTTGTAAGATATTAACGTTGGTAAATTTTTCAAAAGGAATCCATTCGAATATATTCAAATCTAATAGTTTTGTTGCATTCTTTTATCAGATTGACAATTCATCGTGATAAATTCGTTTGATATTTGATAAATGGGCTAGCCATATTTTCCTTGACAACGAGTGCATTTACTACTACTATCATGAGCATTCGATTCCAGCTTGAATTCACTTTATAAAATGCGTTTATATCGATATATGGATGAACTCGGTAACTTTCAACATCTCAATCCCGAATTAACGAAATCCCATAATTTTGGTATTCATACACTTGGATACTATGATTTTGGGATTTTGTTCTTTCGAGATCCCTCTCGGGATTTCGTTTGTCGGTTCGGTCTTATGAGCTTTCGGGATTGTGTTTGGCGGGATTTCGTACCAGACCCCTTGAAATGTTAATAAACTAGAGATAAACTTCATGTGTACATGTAGCGTAGTATTAACATATTTTCTTCATTCTGAATATAAAGATAATTTAAAAAGTGATTTCGATAATCTTTGAATCACTTCCATATAGTTACAACCTCTTTATAGACACACTTTTTACTGTTCCCGATCATCATATTATGTTCAATGATCCTTTATGGTGAGCTATCACTCAACAAACAACTGAAAATCTGGTGAACACTTTATGCATGTTTTTATTGAATGAGACGAAGTTCATACCGTAGTAAAGTAACACGCCATAAGTGCACTCTCTATAGGCGCACACCCTCTCTATATACACATCATGACCCGGTCCTAAGCTTGGGACATAGAACTAAGTGCAAACCCTTTATGTTTTACACATGCAAGCGATTTCTGTGTGTCGGATATAATGGAATACTCCCTTTAAATTCACGCACGTGACGATTACATGACGACAACCAATCAGAGATTATTATTTAATTACGATGTTCGTATGAAAAAACATAGCATTACGTGCAACGTAAATTTTATTATCGTTATACCAATAGTTTAATTCAAGCAATCTATTTAACTTTCGTGAGTAAACTTGATGAGGAAATGGAATTGCAAGCAAGTATTTCTACGTCTATAAGCAAAAATCAAAGAAATCTTTCCAAATAACATTTACACCATCGGTTCTTTACTTCAAAATTAATATCAATCCCCATTGATACAGGCACGCGATTTTATATTCAATCAGATTGATTCTAAATATATATAGTTTATATTGTTCTCGAAAAATAAATCTCTTTACAATCTTAATTGAAGTATTCATATCTAGTCATTACATGTATATTTTGACAATATCTATTTTTTATTGGCTTTCTTAAATGCACACCTTCCCTAATGCACGTATATCGATAATAAATATGTCTAAAGACATTCAATATTTAAATTAATATTTTAAATTGTAAAGTTTTATTTTAAATATATAACTATAAAACAAATACGTTATTGAATATTCTTTGATATGTTCTATTACATTAAATATTAATTTGTTTGTTATTTTATAAAATGATTTGTAGTTAGGCATTTTTTTAATATCAATTTTAATAGCAAGTCAAAATTCTTCAGCACTTGATATATCACGTATATTTATTTTTGATTGGTTAAATTTTAACATGCAAAATTGCAATACTTTTTATACAAAATTTAGCATTACATAAATTAAATTTAACATTACATCTAATAAGTTACATGTATTTGGAAATAATAGTCTTTAAAAAATTCAGCAGTGCCCAGTTATTTGATGCAACTAGGCATTTTGCACCATATGATGTTTTATGAATTGAAATTTAGAAGATACTTAGGTCAAACTCTTGATTACAAAGGTGAGTGGTTCCTGCGTCTGTACAAATATATAAGAATTAGAGTTAAAAATCAAGAGATTGTGTTAAAACAATCCACTTACATTGTTTGCCAGTAGGTTTTTTCCATCCCCCATACGGTACGAAACCTTTTGTCAAATCAATAATATTATCGTATTTAGCGGTCCATAATGGACGACTAGAATCCAAAACCCAATTTTTATCTCCGGTAAGTTTAGTCCACTCATAGTAATTCTGGATTTACAGACAATTTGTGTATCAATGATATAATTCTTCATTTAATATAAGTCTATTAAATATTACATACCGAATATATACCCCAATTCCACTTGGTATCTTGCCACGCCTTTTGGAAGTCGAGCAAAGTTTTCCGATTCGCAGCAGTGTTTGGCCATCCACCAGGATTTTTAGCTGTTTCAACATCTAGCCAAACCCTTCGAACGATAATATTCTTATCTCCATTTATTTTAGTGGTATTGATCATATGTGTCAACTGATCGACTTGATCTTTAGGACTTTTGCAAGTCTTCTTACCACAAGGCGGATTTCCGGTACATGGGAACATGTACACGTCAATGTCGGTGAAACCAGCATTAACGGCGTTTGTATAGCTTTTGACGAAAGATTTGTCAATGTCACCACCGGGCTTTCCATTAGAGTCTCCACAATAGGACTCAAAGTAACCGCGAATAATAATACGTCCATAACCATCTTTTTTGACACATTGATAGGAACTAACTGGTACAACTGTACCTGAAGAATCAACAGCTTTGATAGCAAAAGACGTTGAAATTGCCATGGAAAAGATGGTCAATACCGAGATAAATAACTTCATTTTACTAGATTGCAGATTTTGAAGTCAAATTTCTTTGTTTTTGAAACCGAGTGTATTTATAGTGGAATTGACAAAAATCATTATTCCGATAAGCATTCCAAATTTGGATTTAATGTTGTATTAGGGCTCTGACGTATATTACGTGATCTCCTTTTACTATTTAGTGTTCCCTCCCCAAGTAAGATATTTAAACGTGCCTATAATGTATAATAAGATTTGTCAATACCTCCCAAAGAATATTACGTAATATCTGTTATTGTCATTAGTTTTATATCAGGCATAAAATCAAGTTGTATTTTCAATTGTTATGCCATAATAAGTTAAAAACATATAAATATACTATTGTTTCAGAAATATTTATAAAGGCATAAATTTCAGGAGAATAGTTAAAGGCTCCTTATACCTTTAAAAAGCAATTAATATTATATGTTTCATGGCTCTTTATACAGATATATATGGAATAGTGTCCAGGTTTCATTATACAGATATATATGGAATAGTGTCCAGGTCTTATCATACAGATATATATGGAATAGTGTCCAGGGCTCATTATACAGATATATATGGAATAGTGTCCAGGGCTCGTTATACAGATATATATGGAATAGTGTCCAGGTCTCATTATACAGATATATATGGAATAGTGTCCAGCTTATTGCGACAAATGCATGTACTGCATCAGCACTTGAAACATACAGTGACTCACTTATGAAACGGAACGCGGAAAAAAAATGGCGAGGTTCGAATACCTCGCCATTGAAGAATTATCAAGACCAAAAGAAAGTGGATTTTATTCATTAAAATAATCACAATCACTTAATACAATTTTTATTTTTCATCTATCTTTTGAAATTAAACTAACTTGAATTTTTAATTTTTTTTAGCGTTCCGTCTATTGTGACCGATCTGGAGGATAATATTTAAAGGCAAGTCTCTCCTTAAGGAAATATCAGCCATTGTTAAAAAAACCATATCACACATCGCTAAACTAAGGCTACCATCCTATATATCCACCCCTTGCCTATATCACATCATTGGCATCGAATTGATCAACCTTTCACAAAAGTCAATTTCGATGCTTCTCCAAGCAATTTGTAACTTTTCCACAAATTGATTTTATTTAAAAGTTGACCAGGAAGATTCCGCAAGCGTTATCAACTTCGTTCCATAAATTTTCGATTGGATTAAGTCGGGGGACTGGGCGGGCCAATCAAGCAAAGTGATGTCGTTATCCCCGAACCATCGCTTGGCTTTTCCGGAGGTATGTTTTGGGTCGTTGTCTTGCTGAAATATGAAATCACTATCTTCCAGCATTTTCTCATAAATTGTGTCTAAAAAATTGGTATTTAATGTATCGACGTAGACATCAGCGTCCATTTCGCCATCGATTTTCGGAGCTCACCAACTCCGTTGGCAGTTAGGCAACCCCAAACCATAATGGAACCTCCACCTAATTTTACGGTTGGCATAACATGATGGTCTTTTAATTGTTCACCAGGCTTCTTCCAGCACCACTTGAGTCCGTCCGACCCAAATAATTAAAACTTGCTTTCCTCGAACCAAATTATTTTCCGCCAGTCGTCGACCGTCCAATTTCGGCGTTTTTTTGCCCATCCTAATCGGGGTTTTTTGTGTGTTTTTTAAGTAATGGCTTTTTTCGCTTAATCCTTGCGAATAAACCATTTCTTCTAAATATACGCCGTATGCTTTCCACTGAAATTTCGACTCCCAGTTCAGCTTGGAGCTCATGTTGAACTTGGACGGCGGTAGTGCATTTTCCAGATGATATTAATCGGATGGCATTCCGTTCGTAACGATCCGAAAGAATGCGTGGACGACC